GCTGCTGCTGCAGGAGCTGGAACTGGTGCTAAAGCCAAAGCTGGCGGTGCTGGAACTCCTAACGGAACTGCTGCCGGTGCTGCTGGCGCAAAACCTCCATAACTTGCCCCAAAACCGGGAAATGAAAGAGAGGGAGCCCCAAAGGAGGAAATTGGTGAAGCCAGTGCTGCTCCAGCTGGAAATCCCCCTCCAAAGCCTCCAAAACTACCGATCCCGGCGGCGGCGGATCCAAAAAGCGGCCCAATTGCCGGGCCGGAAATGCCCGTCAGTGGGCCAAAAGCAGCAGCAGCAGCAGCAATTGGGGCAGCGATTGGCGCAGCGATTGGTGGTGGGCCATATGAAGGAACCGGAAGTGCCACTGGAGCAGCTGGAGGACCATAAGAAGAGGGTGCAGGAGGACCGTATGAGGGAGCCGGGACCGGATATGCGACCGGAGTCGGCGCCGGAACCGGAACCGGAACAGCCTGAGGCACGGGCACTGGGACGTGTTTCAGAATCGGATAAGGTTGGGGAATGCGGACCGTTTTCAGCACCTCAAAGGGCACGTAGCGGTGCACCTCAACGGGATGGGGAACCGGCACGGGGACCGGCTGCGGAACGGGAACCGCCTTGTAGACGGGAACTGCCTTGTAAACGGGCACCGGTTGGGGCACGTGAACAGGCGTTGGGACCGGGTATGGAACAGGCTTTAAAAGGGTTCAAATGGGTTAAAAAAATGTAAAAATTTAAAACTTTAGTTTTTGCTTACTTGTGGAACTTTCACTGGAACGTGCTTGACGACTGGATACGGCTAAAATGGTATAAATGAGTGAGTTAATAGAAAGAAAAAAATGTTGATCACATTTTGTGTTATTACCTGAGGCACTGGAACGGGCACGTGCTTGACTACTGGATAAGGCTGTTTAAAAGTAAAAACAATAAATTAAAAACTTGTTGATAAAANCGTGCTTGACGACTGGGTATGGCTAAAATGGTATAAATGAGTGAGTTAATAGAAAGAAAAAAATGTTGATCACATTTTGTGTTATTACCTGAGGCACTGGAACGGGCACGTGCTTGACTACTGGATAAGGCTGTTTAAAAGTAAAAACAATAAATTAAAAACTTGTTGATAAAACTCCAATTTTTTTACCTGTGGCACAAGTTTTTGCACTGGCACCTGAACCGGAACTTTTTGCACCACCGGGTAGGGAACTCTATGGGTGACCAAAATTGGTATTGGGACCCTTTGTACTACCACCTGAGGCCTGACGTGATGGTGAAGACAGGGAGGTTTGGCAATTGCCACTGGAACTGCTGCTGGAACTGCCGGTTGAAGTTGGGCTAGGTCCTGCTCGATTGAGGCGAGAGGATCTTCCTCTTCCTGGTGGTGAAAGATTCCATTTGCTACTGTTAAGGTGGTGGAAATGAGTAAAATCTAAGGAATACAAAAAAATTGATTATAATAAACACAAAAAAATTCCATTTTTTTAACGCACATAAAACTTCATTTTGCTTAGAAATCAAATGTTTGAAATAAAAACATTTGAAAAACTGCTAAGCTTTTATATGACAAAATATTGGCGTTCATTTTGTGATAATTTTGAAAATTTGTGAAGAGTGAAAGTGTGAAAGATAAAAGAGGAAGGAAAAGTGTGCGTTTTTGATGTGGTGAGCAAACACTGAATATCTTTGTCAATTACACTACTAAATTAGTAGCAAAAAAGAGCAAAAAAAAGTGTACCAAAACTAAACTTTGAAACAAAAAATTATCTGCAAAAACTGATAACGACTAAATGTAGCATCCATCGGCANGGTGACCAAAATTGGTATTGGGACCCTTTGTACTACCACCTGAGGCCTGAGGTGATGGTGAAGACAGGGAGGTTTGGCAATTGCCACTGGAATTGCTGCTGGAACTGCCGGTTGAAGTTGGGCTAGGTCCTGCTCAATTGAAGCGAGAGGATCCTCCTCTTCCTGGTGGTGAAAGATTCCATTTGCTACTGTTAAGGTGGTGGAAATGAATAAAATCTGAAAAATACAAAAAAATTGATTATAATAAACACAAAAAATTCCATTTTTTAACGCACATAAAACTTCATTTTGCTTAGAAATCAAATGTTTGAAATGAAAACAGTTGAAAAATTGCTGAGCTTTTATTTGACAAAATATTGGCATTCATTTTGTGACAATTTTGAAAATTTGTGAAGAGTGAAAGTGTGAAAAATAAAAGAGGAAAAAAAAGTGTGCGTTTTTGATGTGGTGAGCAAACACTAAATATCTTTGTCAATTACACTACTAAATTAGTAGCAAAAAAAGCAAAAAAAGTGTACCAAAACTAAACTTTGAGGCAAAAAATATCTGAAAAAACTCATAACGACTAAATGTGGCATCCATCTGCTGCTGGCAAAAATAATATAAAGGGGAGACCCTAAGATAAGTTTGTTTTTGACTGAAAAACGGTTATAATTATTATTCATTGCCTGTTGATAAAGGTAGGGGAAACGATCACTTTTTCACGCTCACTTTTTTTGCCGCATCTTTTTTGCCCGTAATATGATGCGGAAAAAGAGAAAGAGAGGTTTGTTTTTAATTAATTNTAAGATAAGTTTGTTTTTGACTGAAAAACGGTTATAATTATTATTCATTGCCTGTTGATAAAGGTAGGGGAAACGATCACTTTTTCACGCTCACTTTTTTTGTCGCATCTTTTTTGCCCGTAATATGATGCGGAAAAAGAGAAAAAGAGGTTTGTTTTTAATTAATTAAAAGATGGTGGGGGATAAAGTGAGTGTGCTCCAGTAGCTGCGGTAATCATCGGTGGCGGCAATTAAACGGTGACGACCTTGTACAAAAGTTCACCGTTCAAAGTATGCAAACGAAAAACTCTTATTTTTGCTCACACTCAATCTTTGTTGATAACCTATTTTATAATTTTTGTGCTTCCAACACTACAAACCATGTTCAAATATCTAACTTCCTAAAAAGTGTTGTTGTTTTTTCTTTTTAATTGCCAAAATGTTGAGCAGTGAGGTACCTGTACACTTGTTGATAATCTAATTTGCTAACTGCTTTTTGTCGCATTTTCAGCACAACACAGTAATGNCGTTCAAAGTATGCAAACGAAAAACTCTTATTTTTGCTCACACTCAATCTTTGTTGATAACCTATTTTATAATTTTTGTGCTTCCAACACTACAAACCATGTTCAAATATCTAACTTCCTAAAAAGTGTTGTTGTTTTTTCTTTTTAATTGCCAAAATGTTGAGCAGTGAGGTACCTGTACACTTGTTGATAATCTAATTTGCTAACTGCTTTTTGTCGCATTTTCAGCACAACACAGTAATGCTATTTTTAATTTTTAAAAACTAGTTTTGATTTAGTGTTGATCAACACAAGCTTACAGTTTTTATTTTTTAATTTTTGCAATTTTTAAAAGCAGATTTTTGTCATCAGGAAGGTATTTTTTGGCAGTCAAATGACAAAAAAGCAAAAAACTGATAACAACAAAAAAATGCTAGCATCAAACTGCTAATAATAAAGTCATTAGTCTTCACGCCAAATGATTTAGTTCAGGGAAGATTAAACCAAAACTAAAGCTATCATCATCTCTTTCCCTAACTCTACAACTACTGTTGACCTATTTTTAAATCTGCAGGCTGTTTTATACTTTTAAAACACGTCATTTATACTTTCTATACGGCGGTGATTTAAATGACTTTTGAATATGTGCGTTTCAATCACAGGCTTTCAATAGTTTGAATAAAAAAGCTGAAAATGGCACAAAACCCAAATTTTATTCAACTTTTTGCTTTTCTGTTCTTTTCCACACTCTCCAATGGCCATCAGCAAACACTTTCATCTCCATCGTCATCATCTGTGTCACCATTTGACGCCCTGCAATCTCACCCATTGGGCGCCTTCCTCTGCATTCCTCGCATCTTTGTCCAATGTCCTCAGATGAACTCCTACTTTTCCTCTTCCGCCCCCCTGAAGGAGCTTCTCTTCAACCTCGACATCAACTGGCCAAAGTCCAAGGTGGAGGCGGTCAGCTATTGCCGGAACATTCACGCCTTTCAGGGCTGCCTTCCCGAGGCCATTGTACAGCAGTGCTCACTTCCGGCGGACGCCGTACATTCGGTGGCTAAAATGTACATTAACCCTTACTTGGAACGATATCAAAAGCTGGTTTGCAAGGATGAACAGGCTCAGATTCGTTTCCTGAACCGAGCCAACTGCTATCGTAAGGAGGAGGTTCGAGCCGCTTTGACCGATTTTATTCATCGTTCGGCCATCTTCGGGAAGGAAATGAAGCTGAGCGGCGAAGGCGAAGAGGACAGTCGCCGGGCGATGT